AGAAATTCAAGATATTCTGCATAAACTACGTAGTTCGTTTATAATTATATTATTATCAGATCATTTCATGCAGTTGTATTAGCGTCAAGTTTTTTAATGCCGAGGTGGAAGCGCAGGAATTTGTCGTGGACATGACTCGCGCAGGTATGCATGATGCATTCGATGTTTCTGATTGGCCGGGACGCCGTTTATAGCGTGTACCCCGAGGTAAATAAGTACTAGGAGACGCAACAACGGTCGTGGAAGTCTACGATGGTGCCGACGGATTTACGAGTTTAATTAAGTTCTGCGGTCGCGTTTGTCATTTTAGCAGGCATCGAAGGCTCGTTTGGCCACGTTTCGAACTTCGTTTTCCTGTGGCAAGTACAAATTGCAAAGAAGAAAAGTTGACGTCGCGCGCCGTTTCTCAAGAATTGCACCGCAGCGATGATCCATTTTTCTCGACACGAGTTCCATTCGCACATGTTTGATGGACATTAAAGTTTCTTTAGGAACAAATAAAAGAAAAAAAAAAACATGTGACGCAAAGTATACAAATAATTAGGAAAACGTCTTAAAGAGAGGGGAATTATCAATGCGCTAACGCTGCTTCTTAATATGTCCTTTCACATCCCATAGATGATTTAACGCGTACGTTAATAACCTCGTGATAGAGCATGATAGGGGTCGCCGTGCTGCGAGGGTGAGTCGCGATAGGAGTGTGTGTGACACTTTCCTAATTGCCTCGCAACTTCCCACCCCGTCCCCTGTTTAAGAAAAGCGACCCTTATCCGCCTGTTTCTCGCGAGGCTGGTAGACTTTGGTTCGGGGAACTTTCGAACAACAACCGGACGTAAACCTCTGCATTCTGTTGCGTTGTCAAGACGATTATTTTGCACAATAGTAGTTCTACATCTCGGTACGTTTCGCGCAAAGTTATAATAAAGTGAAAAAAAAAAAAAAAAGAGATAAATTATTTTATCGCGTTCTCAATCTTTTCGATAATTTTGAGATAAAAAAAGAAGAAAAATCACGTCTGTGTCCACCGAACTTACAACAGTCGAATGTCGCATGTCGGTAAAAATGAGATATTGGAAACGGACTCGCGCTACATAATGCGTACACGGATAAGATCGCGCCGTTCTCAAGAACATCGAAATAACGTTTAAGTAAGAGTGCCAGCTGCAGCGAGCGGCAGCAAGGAGGCGTAATAATCTCGTACAAGCACGCACTAGGCTTCCATTAAGCCGCGTCGGCAGCATTCTAAGTACCGACGGTAAAGTGCGCGGCGGCCGAGGGAGGTGGGCACCGAGATCCACGGCGGGACAATCAGTAGGTGGAAAAAAATTCACGGAACAGCCAGAAAGGTAGCCGCATTCTTGGTAGCTGCGGAGGCACGTGGGAATCGCGAGATCGGGCCCTCCCGCGTTCCCCGGCGATGCAACGCCGCTCTCCCGCGCGGCTCGTCGTCTTTTTGGGTATCATCTAGGTAAAGTACCGAGCATCCCGGTAAATAGGTAAAGAGCCGGTGCACCCGCCGGTCTCTTTGCCTCTCTCCTTCTCTCTCTCTCTCTCTCTGTCTTTCTCTCGCCGGCGCGTAATATGCCTGCGAAGGGGGATACAAGAGAAAGACGACTCCCTTCTTGCTAACTCGCGACAAGCTCCCGGATTCTTCGCGCGCACCTTACGAAGGGACCGAAGCTCGCAACGCGAATTACACGCTTCTTAACCCTTAACCACCCGGTAACTGGTCGCACGTAAAAATCGCTCGTTTTGCGGACGCGATGGAAAGTCCGCGTGAAACGAAAAGGTAAAGGCGACGAGGATTCATCTCGTTCGAGAGAGTTATCGATATTTTTTCCGTCGCTTTTTCATTTTTTTTTCGCGCATTCCGCGAAACAAAAGGTCAGTCGGAGATTCCACTATCCGCTGTTTCCATCCGGCGGATTTTTCTAATTTTACACGACCATTCGTTTATCTTAGCCGGATAAATAACTTCCTCCTCGTAAACCGCCATGACGCGCCTTTAGAAACGCAGTTTTCGCCTCTCTCTCTGCGGCAGTGAACCTGTTAGATGGCACATCGGATAATCTCTCTCTTTCTTTCTCTTTCTTCCCGGATAGTCTTTCGCCAGAGAAGAGAGAGAGAAAGAGAGAGAGAGAGAGAGAAAGAGAGAGAGGAGGCGAGTAACTACGACTACGACGAGGACAACGGCAACGAAGAAGGAGGACGCGAAGACGGGAAACGAGAGTTGGCCGCTGGTTGCAGCCTACACGAGTAGACGTGGAGGCAGACAGAAGGAGTCAGCGCAGAATATACAATCAGCATGATTGTTTGACACCCCATAATCAGCGTCCTTACCCCTACCAAGCCCGGCAACATCGCGGCTTCTCCGTTCGTTTCGCCGCTCTCCCGCCCGCGCGTTTCTCCTCTTCCTGGTGCCTGCTGCCTGCGCCCAAGGTAGGCGCTCTCTCTCTCTCTCTTTCTTTCTCTCCGTTCCTTTCACGTTGATACCACCTGAGGATCCGCTCCTCTCTTCTCCCGCCCTCTCGTTTCTCTCGCATCACCTCTTTGGGTACCTACTCGGTCCGCTGCCACTGCGCGCGGGGCCTCATTACCCCGATCACGACTCGAAATGAGACTCGGCGGGGCGAGGAAGACGGGAAACGGACACGGTTATATTATAAGAGACAGAAATAATGTTCGCTTCCCTTTTTCCTTCACCCGGGGGACCTTCCTCGACCGGCCGGCCGGCCGACCGACGTGGCGTTTACCGTTTCGGTAAAGATAATTTATGTGGAAGAAACTGTGCTTCGAAATTTGCACATGAAATTCGCGATACACGCGGCCGAGGCAATTGCGCGGCTTATCCGCGATACATTCGAGACGAGTTGTACGAACATTTTTACGCGACTTCGCATCGCTGTCCTCTCGCCCGGGTTAGCGAAGCATAAACCCGATCAATTTCACGTAGTTACAAAAACTCTTCTTATATTTTTACTTTTATACGTCCATGAAATGGTGGAATTTTTCACGATTTCACTGCTTCTTATAGAACTTTCCGGCACGTACGTGAGATTTAGAAAGCAATCACGGGGAAGACGAAGTCACGGGGGGAAGAAGGCGAGGAGGAGGACGAGGCGGCGGATAAGTTCGATTCAGTAACGTCGCAAGCGAAGCGAACAGAAGAGAAAAGGAAGAGTCACGCGAGCGAAGGGCAAAAACAACATGGATCCAGCTCCGGATCGATCGAGAGAAGCGACCGATCGATCCCTGGTATTACGCAGACGTGCGCGTGAGTTATACGTGAGCGCGCGGGCATGTCGGGCGTGAGCCGTCGGCGGAGAGATCCGAATCGGGTGAAAAGAGTAATCCGCAGATGGAGAAGCTGCTAAGGGACGAAACGGATAGCTCGTTCTTTGTTACTTTTTTTTTTTGCGAGGAAGAAGATTGCATCCACCGACGCGCTCGGTCATTTTGCACCACGCTCGAGAGTCCGACGCGCGGACTCGAAGCTCGGAACTGCTCATTAGAGACGCGAAGGAGGAAAGAAGTGTCGAATGAATGAGCGGTAAATGGAATATCCGCCGAGATTATATTCCATTCATATGAATGGCGGTGGAAGTGAAATCTATCGCGCCGGTTCTCGGCCGTTTTCGGCCCTGATGGTTCTTTCAGATTCCGACGGCGTCAGTTAACGAGTCGCGTTCTTTCAGGCGCGCAATGGCGAACTTTGCGCGGATAAACGAGCTAATTACGATGGTCGATCCACGAAGGTGTCTCGGGTGACGAGAAGTCACCTCGGTCCCGGAAGGAAGGCGACGAAGGACCCGATCGTACGGCGAAGAGCGGCGAGGGAGGCCGCGGGACGGCGGGGGGAAGAGATTAGGGCAAAGAGAAACCGCAACGTAGCTTCAAAGAGGTCTCGCCAGTCAGGGGCGCGTCTACTTAACTTTGATCAGGTCGAGACCGCTGATGCGAGACGAGCCGTGCAGAAATAAAATGCCTTGCCTCCGACCTTCCCGCCTTTTTGCATCCTAAATTATCTCGATAGTTCGAAATATCGGAGCTATCCGACGGACGCGAGGCTCGCGGGTATCGCTGTTGCGCGAGGAAAATGATCGTGTTTTTGCCAGTCGGATGAAAATTTTTACCGTAATCGAGAGCGAGGCGACGTCGCTGCGGTATTTAGAGACGATTCTTTTCGTCTTTCTTATCGGAGGGAAATTTTCGCCGGATGAAAAATTTTTCTCGGCGAAAAATTTCTTCATAAGACTCGGCAAGTTGATGTCTACTCGCGACCGATGATGTCCCTTCGCGAGGAAGACGACACTTTTTCCTCGTGCTACGGCGACGCAACGGTGCATCGGGAGAGAGAGAGAGAGAGATCGGCGAGGGGGAGGGGAGATGGAAACGGCAGGTTGAATGTCGTTATTACGTTGAATTAGAGGGTGCAGAGCCGGAACGAGGTATGAAACTATTACCTCGCGAAACGGCAGAGGTCTCCTCTCTTTCCCTCCTTCTCCGCGATCCCCCACCACAATTTCTCCCTCTTCACCCTCTCGCGACGAGGGGTTGGGTGGGGTTAGTGCGTAGATTCGAGTCGAGGCACGAGGATGCTGCGCGAGAGAGCGCGAGATGATGATAGCCGCATCACGAATATCCATCACGGACCAAAGGAGCAAATAGACCAGAAGATGTTTCTACTTAGCACGTATGCGAGCATCGCGTGAATTTCCGTTATGATATCAACAAGCGCGAATAAAGATGTCTTGGAAAATCCACGACTTTGCGATAAAAAGCCTTTAGATTTTTCGTTATCGTAATTTGTAGCTTTTTCATTTTTGTAAAACGAAAAAAAAAATGAATATGCGTGAAAATTGAATGGCGTTGAAACGAACGAAGTCAGTAATCCTTAAATTAGCAATCCTAAAATCCTAATGCTAATGAAATGAAATGTCGTCGCGTTCCGTGAAACGGAACTAGCTTATTCACTAAAAGCAGACAAGATCAGGACTCACCGCCGTGTTGAGGACTGCGCTTGTAGCAATCCTGATGAGCAGAGGAGCCGCCGGTAGCCCCGAGGTGTGTACTGGAAGCCGGCGATGCGGTCGGGTCGGTGTTGTTGGGGTTGGTGCAGGCACCGCTAACCGAATTCGTGGTGACGTTGTTGCCGGTCTGCTGGTCGTGTAAGTGACTGCCGCTGTGATGATGGTGATGCTTATTCCTTCCGAAGGACTCGAGTTCCCGCAAGTGAGTCCTGAACGGGGTCGGCGCGTCGAGAAAAGGCCTCTGTCCCAGACCGAGCGCGCGAAATTGCTGATGTTGTTGTCCTGGAAAAAAAAAAAAAAAAACATTTTAGACGTTTAATTTTATTATCCGCAATCGAGCAAACGACGCTAAATATTTGAGTTAATTAAAAATTTTTTTTATCTTTCTCCTCGATTAATTTTAATCACTTCACAGAGAAGTCTTGAAGAATTCTAGAAATAGAATTTCAGGCGTTTCTCTGAAATGCTTTCCGGATTCTTATGTCGGTTTGGACTTTGACACGATTCGGACACGCGGAATCTCTAAATCGGAGATATTGACCAGCGCGCGTCTACGTCATTAGTCCAATAGAGCGAGATAATGAAGAAACTCGATCTCTCTTCCCTTGATAGACTTCAATAGCATTCCTCGCATATCCGGAGCCCCGTGGACAGACGGGATCTCGAGCCAAGTATCGCGGCGTATATATAATGCGGGCACTCCGATTCCCTATTATGCCGGATCCTGATACACGCTTGATACATATTGTTACGCGACAATGTACATGAGTCGGCACGTGTGCGAGAGCCTGAACGTTTACATAATCATCCGAGACGCGCGGACAAATTGTGCTCGATGCGAAACTACGACGTTTATTAATGTTTGGAGCGAGGATCGCAAGCTCGTGAGGATTTAAAAAATAAATAAATAAAAAAGGGATAAACGGCGGACGAGAATCGAGCGCAACGTCGAGAATTGACGCTCGCAATTCTAGGCCTTCGATATTTGCATACCGGCATTTTCAGAGCGACAATAGGAACTCGGGAGTCCACCTATCACCGGTAGGCAACAAAAGTGGCACGTTTGCCCTCCCCGCATTCCCCGCGCTACTCCCAGCCGCTCTCTCTCTCTCTCTCTCTCTCTCTCTTTTCTCTCTCTTCCTCTCTTTCAACGGTTTCAGCATCGAGAAGCCAAGAATGGGAGCCTAGGCGTAAATTGTTATTCCTCGCGAGCAGAAGCGGGGGGGAAAAAAAAAAGGAGAGAAAAGGAAGGAGAGACGGTGAGATGAGAGGAATGGGAACGGCAGCGCGAGATAAAGGAGGAGAGAGAGACACCTCCGGCCACGAGGGCGAACGACAAATAAAGTTCGACCGCAAACTGCACGAAATTGTCGGCGAGCCCAGATGGTCAGCTCCGGTGCTCTGACCGATGCCTACAAGATTATTCCTTGCTACCGACTACCACGATCGGCCCGCGCCAGGAGATACTACAAGCGACGGGGGGAGGGGAGGGGGGGGAAGGGGCCGTGTATAGGGCCCCTGCGCGGATCCCACGTCTTCTCACGTACCGGACGCCGATAATGCCCCAAATGTGCGGAGCGTTACGCAGCGATGGATTCGCCGATGTTACTCCTCGCTCGATTCGGGCTCTCGCGAAGGGTCAAACGGTCGACGCGAGTTTCATCCGCGCGAGTCTTCTACAAAAGCAAGTTTTCGAAAGAATCTGAAAAGAATAGACAATTCGGTGACAGCTGAAATTGTTGTTTTTTTTTTTTTATTTTTTACGAATTACGTACGGAATGTTTGCGTGAAAAATTGTAGCGAATGCGGTTTGATGACAGTCGAGATCGTGCAACAAACAGTGCGATCAGTTTCGAGGATCGTGGAAAATATTTAATTACAATGTACAATGACGGTGATATAACACCTTCATCAATCGCCCCTCTGGCTCGTAGAGTGCGGATAAGCGGAGGGCCGGGGGCGAGAGAGAGAGAGAAAGAGAGAGAGGAAGATAGGGAAAAGGTGGGACGAGGAGAACAATAATTCCAATCTCTACGGCACGAGTGGTGGGTTTATCTAATCAAAGTGTGGCGGCCCCGGGAGGACGGAAATAGCGCGGCTTTTTCCTCCTCTCTAATAATGCCGCCCCTCTCTCCGCCAGTCTTACGTTCTCCTTGACGCCAGTGCCCGAGCTAGCGCACAGCGTTTCGTAGATTTTATTCTTTCCTCTTTTTTTTTTTTCCCCATTTCTTAACGATCAGCGCGTTGTATCTGCGCACATCCGCTTTCGATTTCAGATAGACGATTGCTGCGAGTGAATTTTTCCGGCGCGCATTATTCTCGAGCGGAAGCCTCGCTCGCGAGATCTGCCACTTCTCGACGCCGCTTTATCAGGAGGCGGTCTTTAATCGGACTTTTCGGTCGCCGATAGAGAGCCTTCCTCTGACCGGTATCAGGATCAAGAGCCGGCCACGAGGGAATCCAATCGCGAAGTAGTCCGGTCCAATTTTAACATTTTGATTGACGGCCACCGACCGACCGTCGAAATTGCTTTGTATGGTTCCTTTCGTCGCTATCGGTTTTCTCGAAAACTACATTTAAGAGAACGTCGATTGGCGGACGCGCGATTTTGCGGAGGTAAAGCGAAATATCGATCGATTGCCAGCGGCAAGAAACCGACGAGTCATCATCGCCGGCCGATTCCGACGGATCGGCGCCGCTCGTATATTTTGTAACAAACTGAAAATCCAAATCCCGCGAGCGTTTCTCGAAAAAGGAATGTCGCGCGTCGCGCGCCCAGTCGTTTGTCATTAGCGTGAAAAAAATACGAAAGAAAGGGGCTCATCGCTGGCAATGCACCAAGCGACGACGGCGCGTAACTCGCATTAAAATGGGAAATCATTTTGCCGATTCTATGACGTGCTACTAATAGACGACATACCAAATACGGAGCAATTACGGAGCGAAGCAAATTCAATTTCGACCTTTGACTGACAGCACCCATCCATCGATATCGTTTCGCTCGCTTGCATTTCGATGATTTTGGGCCACGGTGACGGGCGGCGGCCACTTTGTTTCGCGAGCGTCTCCCTCTCTCCCTCTCCCTCTCTCTTTCTCGATTTATCCGTATCGCTCTCGATTCATCCTGCGTTACGCTGCTGCTGCCGTTTCAGTTATTGACAACTGACAAATTACTCAGACACTACTCCGCCGCCGTTGATCCCTCTAATAGAAAGTCAATGTTAACAGTTTGCGTTCTAATTTCTTTTTTTTTTTCGAGCACTCTATTGCTGCTGCTATCAGAAAATTTCTTTCGACAATTTTGCGGATCAACGAGTGCATTTCCCGCCGAATTTGCTCCTCTCCTTCGACGAAGGGAAGGACTCGCTATTCTGAACTCTTTCGCGTCGGCGCTGCGCAGCGGCGAATTACGGAAATTGCCCGATTATTGGCCATGTCGTCTATGGACGCACGAAGCGCGGCGCGCGGAGGGAATGATTTCCGATAACAAAAAGCTCGCGATTATGCATGCAATAATGAGAGCCGGCAGGTGTCTGCGGGGCGCCGAGCGTCGCGCATTATTGGCAGCACAATGAAAACGCTGGTCGGTTGTTTTGCTCAACCGGCGGCGCTCGTACGCCGGTTGCTGCATAGATTGTCTCCCCGGTGCGTGCCGGCCGATGAGGCACGCCATCGGCGATGCCAAACCCATGTATGCAATATGTCGTCATGCGTGTTCTATTTCGCGGCGATCCGTGTGCCACGCGACACGCATTCGTCGTCCCTTCGTGTTGTCTCTTTCGTCTCGGAAAGGGCCAGTAGGTCGGCGACGGCAATGTCCGGTCTGCTCGGACTGACATTTAAACGATATAAACGGCTCTTTCGTTTCAAGCGGATTCCACCTCGTTTGCGGATTACCCGTTAAGAGCAATTGTCGTAAAGACATAAAAAATGCGTGAACTGTGCAATATATCGGGCATACTATCTGGTTTCGTTATCAATTTATTTAAAATTTATTTATGGATTTAGAGATTTGACGGATTTACTATACGCTGTGAAAAAATTCGATAACCACGAATAAAATGTAAAAATAATATAATAAATAACGAAAATGTACTAAATATAGTGTGATTTATGAAATCATGTCAATTTATAATACTTATTTAGTGTATTTTCGTCATTTATCACGTAATTATTACGTTTTACTTGTGTTGCCCAATTTTTTCACAGTGAAACTTTTTATCAGATTCATCGTTAAACATTACATTCTTCTCTATAATAAACGAAATATTTCGAGAGTTTCTATTGTGTATACCCGAATGTAATACTTAATTTTCTAAAAATGTATTTATGAATTAATGATTTGTTTCGTTGATGGATCGCGCAGTAGCAGAGCGAAGTTAATCGAGTCGGAACCGAGCACCTTTGTCGGAGGCATTAAAAATGTCGAACGCCACAAAGAGGTAGAAGTCGAATGGGACGCGACTTAAAACTTTAACTCCGTTAAGTGCACTTTATGCCAGCTGGAAAATTGACGAGGTTCACGCGTTTTTGCACCAGGTCCCGCCCGACACGCTGGGCCGAGTCAAGCAGTAAAAACATCAGTAAAATCAATCACGCCCGACTATTTCGAAAAAAAA